TCTTCAATTAAACATATTTACTGTACTCAGAGAACTTACTTTCCTATTTCGCAAACATATTTACAATGAATGTATTTATTCACCTTGCCAGAAAACATTAAAAAACAACTGTTATGCCTTTTCTCTATACGACTTTTCTTTATATGGCTTTTGACTTCAATACCACCTTTGTTGCTTCTCCACACAACTGTTTTTGAAGTTTGCAGTTTTTCCACCTCCTCAGAAAATGTTTTTACTTCATTCAACTTGACTGTTTTCACAAACACTTTCACGGTTTTAGAAACATTATTTTGCTCACCAAACATCACATTAACCTGTACAAACTACTTGACTTCTTTTCGCCTTTGGATGACCACTTTGCTTTCCTAAATAACTCCTTACCAAACAACGTTCCTGCCTTCCTAACCAACAGGATATACCTATTCAAAAACTTGTCCAATTTCAATTCAAAAAATTCTGTTTGGTCTTATCAAACAACTCCTATTACTGTAGAATACTTTATTTTTGCTTGAAATTAATTTTCACTGAAGTAATCAGTGAAAACAAATCCATACAAAGCACCCAAAAAGTCTTTCAGCGAAAATTAATTCCAGCAAAAAATAAAGTATTTTACAGTATTCAAATATTTTCTTGCCTTAGCAGACAACATTCTCTCAACATTTGTGCCTTTGCCTATTTTTCTATGGCTATACTAAACATCTGTTTTATGACCTCAATCACGTTTTATGCTTTTTCCCATGATCGATATTTTGATATATCCATGTACATTTCCCACAAATTTCTTATTTGACCACAACTTTATGCATCTGATGAATTACTGTTATGGTATTTCCAGGTTTTCAACCAACCCTCTTTGTAAATTATACTTGTAAATTATTAGAAATAAAACGACGCCTTAGTGTACCACATTGGAATGCTCAGAATACACTCAATTATAAAAACACTAAATTTGATAAATTGTGTACCAGTGATCAGTTGCTGCTACATACCGTACCTATCGTATATCGCCCTCACTGTTGATGGGGTGTTGCTGCTGTTTTTATTCAATGCATTTTAGAAGATAATGCAGATGTTGCTAAGTTTCTCAAGAGGGCGTCCTTACTAACGGGACGGTGTATCTTTGGCATCTCGTCACGCTAATTGGCCAACAAATCGCAAGATACGATGTAGCCTACTCGGCTTGAAATTTGGCATGCAAACACTTATATTGTAATGGTTTGTTACAATTCCATTTCTTTGACGCAATACAAACATTTTCGTACCTCGCCATGGTGGGAATAGCAACTGGACAAATTCTGACTCCACATTTCATTTTATCTTGTGCCATGCGAGGTACGAACGAGCGAGGCTCGCTGTAGCAGAACGGCACTGAATATTTTATGGTTATTTGAGTTCAAGGTACAAATGTGTTTATAATTTGAAAATGCATTTGTTTTATTAGGGGCACAAGACTTGGTGCAAAAAAAAAACAGTTTATAAGTAGAGCATTCACAAGTATTAACATTATAAATAAAACTATTAATTGTTTATATTAATGACAAATGTGAGCTCATTATCGTTGGTTAAACATAAAATATCCACTGAGTTATCAGCTTACAATTTCAGTATTGGATACTTTGAGTGTATGGCTCGTGGAAGCATGATTTATTTAGATCATATGTTAGAATTTGTGTGAATTTATTTGCATTTGATTGTTTGTTTTTGTTTATAGAATGTGCTACGACAGAATTTCTTAGTCTACAGAAGGTTCCAATTTCTCTCCATTCAATGTGAATATGTTTAATACATATACTAGTATACGTTAAAGCGCGGTGGTCGTCGCGCAGCGCGTGTTCGAATTTCATGTAAATAAACATTGTATTTTACACGCGTTGTATCTACGTCGCTATGAGTCCCTTATCGAACACGACGTGGCACGACGACTGACGCCCTTTAAACTATTACAATGTTTTCAAACAGGGTAATTACGAAGTATTTTTCTCACATGTGCGTGTCAAGAAGTACGTTGCAAGTCGCAAGTCCGCGTTGAGTGACAGTGTCGTATAACAGTGATCCGGCTCAGGTTGTGATATTAATGAAACGAAACTACTGGGGCTTGATATATTTATTATACTCCAGTGATACAGCGGTATTTATGTGGCTTGCACTTTGACATATTCGAGAATAGTAGTATTTATAGTATTTTTTCAGGGCCGGATGCGGGGTTTTCAGCCAGGAGGGGCAAACCTTACAATGACGTCATTGCCGCACTGCATTGTTGGATATAGGTGTAAGAGTAACTCTGTCACTGTGATTTCTACAGCAAAATAAATTTACTTATGCGAGACGGTTTTGCACGAATAACAATAGATGATGTCGGCGTCTCTGTATGCAGGTGTTGGGACTCCACACTTACATACGCTTGATTTGTTCTGATATCGTTATGTACGTATGTGTCATCAACTTGGTTCATAATTTTCTACTGTCAATAGGTGATTTTCCGTACAATTGCGAGATCTCGCGAGATGCATGAAAGACGCGCGTCGAACGTCTGCCGCAAAAATCGAACGATTTGATTTTGAACTAGAATTTCTTTATTTCGTAGCTTACATTGACCGGCCGATCTTCGACAGAGGAATATTGCTTTCGAATACCCTTACTTAATCGAAATTGCCTATCATCAAATGTGGACAGCACATTATTAAGCATGGAAATGTCCCCGAAATACTTTCGCGTTTGTCGAATCCCACGCGATGTTTGACGCGACTACGACGCTATGACCTTTGTTTGTCCTGTTTTTACGTTCGATTTCACGCATAACGCGTGATTCTCGCAGTGAACGGAAAATGGTCTATCCTCGGGGGCGGAGCTACGTCACAGACGTTCTACGTTGCTAAGACGCGCACCACTGTACCACGTATTTCTATGGGCTTTGTGCGCGCTGCTGTGGAAAGCCGGTGGAGCCGGTGAAAACTCGAGAAAATAACACAAACTCAACTTTGAAGTAATCCTGAACAACCAAATTCATATATGTTACACACGTAGGGCTAATCTTATTACACTGTTCAGGGGACTCTCAACAACCCTCGCAAAGTACCGTTTTCTGCGAGTTTTTGGTCTTTGTTTTCAGGGTTGCCAGGCGGTAGAAAATACCCGGATGTCCGCCCCCGAGGATTGAGCGTGACCGATTTCAACAAAATGGCAATTATTCGACCCTTAGCTTTCAAAACGCATTTTATGTGATAATGACCTTGTCTATAGTCACTTTGTCCGTGCATTTCGGTAAGATTTGGCCATCTTTATGTGGTTATATTCAAATAAAAGATGCTAAAAATCGCAGCTTCTGTCGTTTTAATTTATCATGGCGGGCTGGGACAGTATAAGCGAGTTTCGATCACAGGGTAACATGGAACCATCTCTTACAGCGAGCGCAAGATATTTACATACACCTAACTCGCGCACCCGCTAGCTAATTACCGAGGGACTTTGCAACATCCCCAGACACTTTGCTAGACGCCCCAACGACCGTTGTAGACGCAATAAAGTTACATACACTCTCACGTGACAGTTAATCAAAACACCGGACGCGGTATGCCTTTGATGTGTGGGCACGAGGAACAGGGGTAGTTGGAATATTCCATTGCTTTGTAGGTATAACAATCATTGCTGTGTAACACTTGGAAGAAATATAAAACGAACATAAAACTGGAAATAAATATTAACAAGAAACGTTAAAAGTAAATTCCTTCGATTGTTAGTTTGTTGAGATGTTGTCAATGGGTTTATACACAGTCCTATTAAAAATGTCGCGTTTGCGCATAATGGCATGTCCCATTGCCAGTTTGCCATACAGCGCCCAGTCAGTCTTTCCCAGAAATCTTCTACTTATATAGTTTTACATACTAGTACTAGTATATGCACAGGGAGCCCAGGAACTATGATCAACTGTATGCACTCCCTGTGAGGGGGGGGGGGTGTC